CTAAAATTAACATGTTGTAAAAGTCGAGAAGTTATGTGTAAATAGTGGTAATTGAGTTATTTTAGGTCTAGGGTTTGAGAATGGAAAAGAAGGAAAAATGGCATCGCAATTTCGCTAGACTGTCGCCAAAACTTGGCTTGAGCGTCAGAAACAGAAACTGCGTTGCCCGCATGTCGCCTCGCCTTCACTCGAGCGACAACCTGTTGCGACTGTCGCTCATCCCTCGCTTGAGTGACATTATTATCCGAGAATTTTTTTAATTCGTTTTTAAAGGTTTTTTATTCAGCCCATTCATTCATTAACCTAACCTATATATACCAAACGCCACATAACGGTTTTTCGAAGGTTGATCATTGAGCAAACACATTGTTTTCATATTCTATTCATTAGTTATCTTTCAACCTTCATTATTCATATTGTGATTTGTTCTTGGCAATGAAAAATATCATATTCTAAATCCAAATAAAATACTGTTGCTTCCTCCATATCAGTCAGAGTTCTGAAAATCAAGGGAAGGTGACTAGAGTTCCAGTTGTTGAATAACGCAATGTTCTTCATTAATCCACAGAAAATAGACGATTTCACAAAATTAAGAGTTGGTGTAAGAGCACGAAGTTTAGGAGAACTGTTGGAGTTGCAGTCAGGAGGTCAGAAAATAATAGTGGTAGTCAAGTTTGGCGGATTGTAAGTTTTACATCGTTTATAGTTGATTGTCGACGGGCAAAGTTCCTGGAGTTTTTACCCAGTTGGGATTTCTCTGCGATCATATCTTGTGTTAATTTATTGCATTCATAACAGCGGTATTGCAACATAGGATAAAATTGAATTGTATGATTAACCATCTAGAGATAGTGACTTGTTGCTATTTAATTATTAAGTTTTTAATTCCGCGTAATCACCTATTCACTCCCTCTCTAGGTGTAATTTGAGTCAAATTTCGTATTGTCAAGGACTCAAGGTGAAATTAGAATTCTTTCAAGCTTCAAATCAAGGAAAATAACATAGGATAATGAATTGTATGATTAACTATCTAGAGATAATTAATAGAGACTTGTTGCTATTTAATTGTTAAGGTTTTAATTCCGCGTAATCACCTATTCATCCCCCTCTAGGTGTAGTTTGGGTTGAACTTCGTATTTTTCACAACTGACTTACATTTGGGTTAATTTGTGGCTTCCCTACGACTCAATGCATCTGCAACCACATTTGCTTTTCCTGGGTGGTAGTTACTTGTGCAGTCATAATCATTCAATGATGTAATGTACTCTATGGAAAATAGTGTAAAGTCGAAAAATGTAGTTGTGTTTCTATCTTTCACACCTTAGAACACAACTACATAACTGAAGCCACTTCCAAATACTGACTTATAGTTTAAATAATTGACTTACATTTCATCCAAAATTAAGGGGAACGGGTAGTTACGCATTTAGTTGTCAATCCAAAAGTAACAAAATAGACAATTGTCTCCTCCCCTTCTTCTTACATTCTTTTCCAACGTATACACAAAAGTGGCTTCCATAATCTTGCTTTACATGACACAAATTTCTATAGCTATCATATTGTTAGTTGCGGTACTATATAGAACCATAACAGCAATAGTAACTATTTGAATATATGTTTCCACCTCTCTTGGATAGTATGCTCATATGTCAAGAACTTATATCTAATGGAACTCTTCATCGCCGCGAGTAATGGCCCAACTATCTTCTCTATACTCTATGTAATTACGCGTCATCTTTACCTAAAAGTGGTAGGGAAAAGGAGAATTGAGTATAACAATTAAATGAGTAAAATATGGTGTTAGTGTACACTTGATGCGTGCCATGTTATATTTATTTCTTTAAATATTTACCTTAAGTCTCTTTGGGCATGTGTGAAATAAAAAATCTGTACACTCGAGCTTGCTTTAATTAAACAAAATTATGGCTGCAAAACACTTTCTCGTTGATGTGCCCTCTTTAACACAATGAATTCATAACTAGCCATGTGTGATATTTGTCTAGGAATGCTGGTCATTTGCACAATTGATCACCATCAAAGCATCCCAACACCAAATACTTCACAAGGGTCGAGCACTCATTTAATCACTGAGCCACCCGATAATCTAACGAGTGTCCTCTTGCAACGGTCCATATAACCCACGTTGGTGTACAATTTATGATTTTTCACACCACTTGCATGTCAATTAATATTGGAGTATATCATGTATATGCCATGCTCATAAATCATTTTGCGTTGTACTAGTCATATATGAGATGAATAGTTGCATAAAAATCAACTTATTCACATAATTTCATTCCACGTAGCTTCGCATAAGTAATCACATAAGCAATACAAATCTAGTTACATATTTTACTCACGAATCAGAGGAGGATTGGACTCTCGAATTGGTCCTATCAAATTATACAAATAAATAATTTCAATATCTGATTTCAATATCCTATTCGTAAATAATATTTTGTTGGCATGGGTGTCTTCCAATCCTCTAATATACCATAACTATAAGAATACAAGTACATGTGTCCCTGATTTAGCACGTACGTTTACCACTTGAGAGCATCAGAATCTCCATTAATGAATTTTTTGTGCTTCCCATTTTTATTCCAAAAGTTTCTCTTATAATTTAGTTTGCCATTTTAGACTCCTCATTTAAGAACTTAATTATTTTATAAAAATATCCTTTGATGAACGTAAATTCTGGAAATAAAGAAGAATGTAGTTCATTACCTTAATCACTTAATTTTCTTCCTTGGGCGTTCTTAAGCTAGTAGACTTACTTTAGGAGTGTCTTACTTATACTGGTTTGAGAGAAGTTCAACACCAGGATACGACCACATGTGATACAAAAGAGGAGGGTTTTCTTCCATTTTAATATTAAGTCTTAAGTACTAGGTTTCTCACCCAAGCAAGCACCTTACTCATCAACCCAGTATTAGAATCTGAGACCTCTTTTCTTCCTTCCATGTGGCCCGGATGACGAATGAAGGTTAAACTTATCAAATAAATGTATAGAGATTTTATTTTCTTATTCCTTCAAGTTATTTTCACTTTCATTAAGTCCCCTATAGTTTATAGTTTTAAAATTAAATCCAATTTTTCTCAAATAATCGAACTTTCCTTAACATTTTAAATCTTAAAACCACTGGGGCTTCAAAATCAATAATATATCAATCATTCGAAGGGTTGGACTAATAATTAAATTAATTGTAAAATATAAAATTTGCGGAATGTTATAGGTTAAATTGAATTGCAAGTACCGTTTGGTGTCATTGAATGGCTACTATGTTGCTAGAAGTCAATTGGTGTCAAGTTGGAGATTGGAAAAAATTCACAATTCAGGTGTATGGTTTACACCAATTCAAAAGACATGTATATAGTTTAAAAATTCAAAATTCGGGTATTTGGTAATTAATTAAATATAACTAGGTCACA